CATTGCATATTATCACACTAGAAGAAATAGAGATCCAACCAGATTTGACTTACAAAGAAGAACCAGTAGGGATCTTGGCTCGAGAAATCAAAGAACTACATAACAAGAAGATTCCTATAGTTAAAGTGCTTTGGCAAAATCATAAAGTCGATGAAGATACTTGAGAAAGAGAGGATGACATGAGGAAGATATATACACACCTCTTCGTAGCAGGTACGTCTTAAAATTCGAGGATGAATTTTTCATAAGGGGAGAGAATTGTAATTCCCCGAACATTGGGAAAGTGATCATAATGTAAGGATATAAATTTTGGTGGTTAAATTTGAATAAATTCAAAAGTACAAGGACTGATTTGGGAAATTGTGTTTAAGACTTATTATTAAGAATAGAAGAATGGAGGGACATTATGGTCTTTTAGAAGGAAATAAATTTATTATTCATTCTTTTAAGGATATTTATTAATGGTTGAAAAGGGGAAATGATAAGCTGAAAACTTAAGTTATCTTCTTCTTTTTCTTCTTCTCATCTATGTACCCTCCATAGCAAATGTAAGATATCTTCAAGTTGGGTTTTCCTTTTGTTTTTGGGTTGGTTTTGAAGTCTTAAGTGATATATAGGCATAAGGAAAGTTCGAGGATGATTAAAACTAAGAGATTAGTGATTTATTTTTGATTTAATAAAATGTGTTTTTAAGTTATTTGATGAAATTTAGTCAGTTATGGGATTTTAAAAGCATGTATTACTTGTCAAAAAAAGTAAATAAGAGATTGAGAGCCTTAGAAGTGATTAAAAACATGTTTAAAAATTTGGTGTGATTTTTACTTTTTAAGTGTTCTTTGGATATTTGGATGTTATAAGGAGATTTATGAATGTAAGTTAGTTGGGTTAAGTAATGATGAGTTTGATGGTATGGTTAGAGATAAGAGTAAGAAATTTAGGTGAAATTTTGGTAACAATTGAAGTGAAATAAGTAAAATCTGGTAAGGGTATTGGTACTGGAAGAACAATATCGATACTATAAGGTTAAATTTGACGAAAAAGGATGAAAACAATGAACAATATCGATACTGATGGAAGTAGTATCGATATTGATGTGGGGGTATCGATACAAGAGGAAGGTATCGATACTAAAATTGAAAAATAGATTTCAGAATGCAAAAATTGTATCGATACTGAAGTGGGTTTCGATACCATAGAAGAGAAGTATCAATACTGTAGGAGGGTACCGATACTATTTAGTCTGAAATTTTAAGTTATGATGAATTTTAATAAAATTTGAAAATAATAGTACTTTTGAGTATTATTATTTTGTATAAATGTTAGAAAGTATACTAACATTTGTATTGTATGTTTGATTATGGATGTCTGTGTAGATCGTAATCAAGCTCCCGAGTCAAGTAAACAGAAAGGCAAGGATAAAGTAGCAGGATAGTCAGACATCATTAAGGCATAATAGTGAGGCATACGAGGTGAGTGCATTATTATGTACTTATATGAGATGATGATGACTTACGATGAGTCGACCTCAAATGTTTTTTATAAAAGTATGTTTTACAGTATTTTGATATATTTTCATAATGTTTATGGAAATGATTTTACGAATAATTTTAGAGTATGAACAGCTCTAAAATGAATGGATGAACTTTTATATTATTTTAACAGTTATTGATGTTTTAGAAATAAATTTTATATCTGCGAATTTGACTTAAAGGCCCATTGTATGTGCATTGAGTGTCATAGGTGCATTTCGACATACTTTGTGTATGAAGGTTATCGATCGATTTTGATTAATGCATATGTTGCATTTTCCTATCAGTATTATTTGTACTTTCAGCACTAGGTGTGCAACCATGGTATTCATAATGAGTTTGTGAATTACAATCATGACATACATTTGTGTATGAAGGTTATCAATCGATTTTGTTTAATGCATATGTTGCATTTTTGTATGAGTACTATATGTACTTTCGACACTATGTGTGCATTCATAGAGTTCATAATAAGTTTGTGAATTACCATTTCGGCACTTAGGTGGAACGCATGTACCTTGCATTCCCATTCAACATACATTGGGAAAATAAAAGGATAATTTGGAAAAATACTGATTTATAGGTATGCTGGGCATACTAAATATTGTTTCACAGATTATGTGAATGAAACTTGGTTTACCAAGCCATTTTTATGTATTATTATGATTTATACAATTTAATTCGTATTTTTATATTTTTATGATATACTTATGTTTAGGTTACACCTCAATTGTATTATTATGCCTCACTAAGTGAATACTTAGCGTGTGTTGGTTTCACGCGTAGGTATTAGTAGGAGCGGAGTAAGGAGTGCAGCTGATATCATCAATCAAAGGTTGTCTCATCAGTAACTGTATGACATATATGTCTACTTTTGATATTATTAGATGGCATGTAATAAAATTATGATGATGCTCTGGAACATATGGGATTTATGATGATTGTAATATTTAATATGTTAGAACTTTAAGACTATTTTACATACTAAAAGTTAATGAATGTTTTATAATTATTACATTAAAATACTTTATTTATAGAAACAAAACTTTAAAAATGGTTTAGAAATACATAAATATTTTAAAAGTCATGAGACACATGTGACTTGTGTACGAAAACATATACGAGAAATGTGTGTTACACCCTAATTTCAAATCTCTTAAAATAAGCATAATCACCATGTAATATCTACTAAATGATAGAGAATTTCATGTAGATTAATTCTCTATTTCACAACTTATTCTGAAAATCAATCATGTAAGATTAAAAATTAACTTGAAAATTTTTCTTTCCTTGTATGGAGACTCACGACTTTGAGAAAAGAAATGGCTGAAAAAATATGCTAATTTTCTTGATTATTTTAGTATAAATAATCCTTAACACATGACTTAATATCATTCAATTGAATTTAAAATTCAATTAATGAGAAATTTCATATTTACCATTAATGATCCTTGATAATTATAAAATGTCATTGTATTATCTTCCATTAAAATATTCCTTAGTCAAAGATGAACCAATTTGACTTTGACTATCTACTTTGGCCATACAATTTTCAAAATTTGCATTTTAGTCACTAAATTTCCACTGTTCGACCAATTATGAAAAATTACACTGATATGTGCTAAATTTCTCTGATTTAAAATATGAAAAAAAATATTTCCAACCCTTATCTATTTTCTTTCAAATTTTTGTAAAATTTCAGTTCGATCCTACTATTCGGTTTCTATATCGAATTTTATCGCTTTATAGCTCTTAACACAAATCCCATACCGAAAATTTGATTAGTACGAAAATTCTTGTTTTATGTAAAAAATTCATTTACAGGCTAAATATATATAACTTTTAAGTTTTAAATTTTTAGTCCCTAAACTTTTACAAAGTTTATACTTTAACCATCAAACTTTCAAAACTTACAATTTGATCACTAACCAAAATTTGGGGTATTACACAAAATACATCCCTAATTCAAAATTATAATTTTGAGTCATTAAAGAAATTAAATTTAAGTATTGTAATAATTAAATCAAATAATTTGAGGGTTTAACTAAATAAAATAGTTTGAGAATTTAATGAATGTTTTGTTTTATATGTTAAAAATAAAATCTGATTAAACCCAACCCCAAGTAACATCAAACGGACAAAACCCTTAAATTCTAAGGATTTTTTTTTAATTTAATTGACAACTTAATATCTAAGTTATTGTTTTCCCCATCTTAGTATATACTTTTTTTTTTATTTGGTTTAGCGGTTAAGATATTTTTATCTTTTATATATAATCTCAAATTTGAATCCTCCTCCATTAACACTACTATTAAAATAGTATATAATTTTTTTTCTGGTTAGAAATAGTACCTAAACATCATTATTTTCCCTAAATTATCCAAAATCTGATTTTCGTTAAAAAACAGTTAATTATAACTTATAACACCATAAAAATGTCATGTAAATATTATTACGTATCGTTCCATTATTAAGACACATCATCACGACTAACAAATAACTTATGAAAGAACCGGCGAAAAAACCTCACTTCTACCACACACACAAAAAAAAAAAAATTATCAACTTGAAAAAAAAATATAATTTAGGTATGAATTTGCCAATTAAGCCTTTCTTTTTCAATAAATTGCGTCTACGGGTTCCTTTACTGGATGAAAGGAGATATTTAGCGGGCAAGGGATGATTTTTATGGTTTAGTAATTATCAGCTTATGTGTTATGGGTAGATGTGTTTATTTTTGGATATCAGAAATTATCTGATATAAATTTTTAGATATTTAATATTATTTTATCCTAAATTTTAAATATTAAAAATTATGATTATAAAATTATGATTCGTCCGATTTAAAAAATTATCAAATATCTATTTTTAATGTCTATATTTTTAGACCAATATTCAACTATATGAATTTGAACATAGAATTTAATTTAAAAAAATTATATTTATATTTAAGTTTTATGATCTTATGCAACATATTTTATACCTTTTTCTCTCTCACAATAAAATAATTAAACATCTTAATTTTTATTGAGTTAAAACCTTAGTGAATCACTCATTTATTAGATTAAATATTGTATAAACTCTAGATGCTTAATTTTTATTAAATTTTCAGATAATTTAAAATTAAAATTTAGATGATATGAATTCGATTCGATTATTTGGTTTTTTTAATATCTAATCTTAATTATTCAAAAATCAAAAAATAAAATAATATTTAAATTATTAGATCAGACCAACGAAGCAGATGAAGTGGAAGAATTTTTTACACACCCAACGCTAATTATGGAGACGTCAAAATGGCTGCAAATTTTTTTAATTAATGGCTGCAAAATTTACACTTCGACTCAACCTGAGGTTTTTTAATTGCCCACCAAATCATGATTAGGTAACCAAAAGCAAAGCAGCCATAATTTGTGTCTTCCTTAATAAATACGCCCGTGGATTTGCTCAAGCACCAACCCCACAGCACAGACCCATTGTTCATTTCGACCCCATATTTAGGCGACAAGAATGGAGGATTTGGATCTTCTTCACCACCAACGTTTAGTCGCCATCGATTCTAAACCAAAAACTGAGACTCTCAGCTGAAAGGTAAAGCCTTCAATCTTGGCCATCTTTTTACCGGCGGCAACTGTGAAGATGCAAAGGCGGCGCCTGCTTGGGCCGGAAGTGAGCCCGCCACCACTGAAACATGGAAACGAAACTCGTGATCTTCACATTAGCGACACGAATTTCGACACAAACATGGTGTTTATATTGGCAGTTTTTCTATGTGCTTTGATCTTCGCGTTGGTGTTGAACTCGATAGCGCGTTGGGCTCGGGGCTGCGGCAGAAGGTTTGCTCCGGACACTCGAGAACGACCGCTGTCGGTGACGACAGGGCTCAAGAAACTAGATTTGGAGCGAATTCCGGTGGCTGTTTTGGGGAGTGACTCGAATTTTAATTCGACTGAGTGTTCGATTTGCCTTGGAGAGTTTGAAGATGGGGAGAAGGTTAGAGTGTTGCCGGAATGTAAGCATGGATTTCATGTAAGATGCATTGATACATGGCTGGTGTCACATTCGTCGTGCCCCAATTGCCGGCATTCATTACTCGAACATTGCATATTAGAGAATGCCGAGACATCACCGGAAGACCCCGCCGGACAATTATCTGAAGATGGAATTGGGGAGCAACAGCTTGACAGCGGTGCTGTGGTCGTTCAAGAGGGGATCTAATGCAAGTTGACCTTAATCAGGGTAGTTAACTGGAGCTTCTAAGTACTCCCCGCCGTTAAATCTTTTTTACTTCCTACTCTAGCGTCTGTAAATATTGAATCTGAAGAGGTTAAATATGATTGTTAAATTTATTAAATAAATATTTTAAGTTAATTTTAGATAGAATAATTTAAATTTAAAAAAAAAAAATTATTTGAATTTTTTAGTAAAAATTTTGTATTGTGTCTAAGGATGAATCAAGGGGCGGATGGCGACCGTCGTCACTTAAAATATTGAAATAATTTAAAAAATATTATATTATAAAAAAACCTTATATTTTTTTGAAATTATAAAAATCCCGAAATCCCCAAATCTTAACCCTAGCCTTAACTACACTTCCATTTCTGGCCACGACCACAGCCTCAGCCACCTCCTTTGCCATCTCGGTAGTCAGACGATGTCGTTTTATTTATGGAATTGTTGTTGTATTTGCGATGGTCGTCATAATTTTTTCACGTTCATCGAGGTTGATTTCACCACGATTTTGTCGTTGTTATGGTGATTGTTCATCAAGGAACAAGTCTTTGGTGGAGGCGCAGCCAGATGGCAGTCCAAACGACGACAATGACGGCGGCGGACATGGGTACAAGAGTAGCACCCTTTTCCCGAGTACGACTTAGAGATATCACATAACACTTGTAAAACATTTCCTATTCGAAATCAATAAAATTTGTTTCTTTGAAATTTATTCAATTTAACATTTTCACCAAAATTTATTTATCGCGTAAAACCAAAATATAATAGTTTATCGTACAAATCAAGTTTGATTTCAAGAAGCAACTTGGTAGTTCAATATTATTTCATATAAAATATAAAACTGCCTAAAAATATCTTTACACTAATAAAATATAACTTTATTGAAATATAAAATACAAATTCAGGTTTATAACCATATTTTACTCAATTAAATTCATATATGAAATTTTATCATAACATATATTCAAAAACCACACACACACACACACACACACACACACACACACACACACACACACACACACACACACACATATATATATATATATATATTACTTACTAAAGCTCACACATATAATCTATAACAAATCATTTAAGCAATACAAATATATGAGAGCTTTTCTAACCATTTTAAAATATAACCATATTAAGATATTATATGCACTTATTATACATATACATGACAACTAGAAATCAGATCAATAGTAGGATGTCATTATTGTTACCGGTAAGTAGTCTTCGATGATTAATGTCAAGCTCAGCTCTTTACTCCACTCGTTTTCTTTTACATATGCATGAAACCATCACATGCTAAGTATACGCTTAGTGAGACGTTATAAACAAAAATAAAATATATCGACATGACAAATATCATATAAGTAATTTTATTGAAAAATGCCTTATAATAATATAAGAACTGATAATCAGACTTAATAAAATCTTTCCTTCATTAGAAACATGTAAAATAATAGTTGTCATGTACTTCCATAATCTTATATCAGATTATTCAAAGAAAGTTTTACTTTCAATGAATCAATCAACCTGTACTTTTCAGTCCATTTAAAACATAGCCCAATGTATAATAAATGAGAATGCATGGTACGTGAGCTAGACGAGTGTGCGCAATGTGCAGTCGCAACTTCCAGAAATAAATTGTACTCTTTGTGTCAGATAGAAGTATAAGTACTATAGATCACAATATCATTATACTAATCAGAAATCAGATATGATAATTCACTAACATCAAAACATCATGAATTTCATAATGCAAATACAATTCCAGATAGATGTACACGAATGTATCCGATATAGAATCTATGATCACTCCACCTCATGGCATGCCAATTGTATCTAAAACTCTTACTATACATACAATGGGCCTTATAAAACATTGTCATATTTTTCATTTATCAAAAGTATCAACATATACTAACATTTTAAAATATTATATACAAGTGCAGTGTGCAATTTATACCTGAAATCAACCATATAACAATTAGTAAAATGTCATGTAACATATATTAGGTAATTAATACCCATAAACAAATGAATACCATTATGTAAAATAGTATGTAAATAATTCAAAATATGAATTAAATTATTTTCTTTTTAAATCATTTGAGGTTGATTCTTCGCAAGTCTTCCTCGTATCAAATATATAAAATAGGTAAAAATGTACTCACTTGGTAATGCATCACTAGCAAACCTTACTTTTGATATAATCTCACTTTTTTGCTTTTCCTTAGCTTTTAACTCGATTCGATCTTGGTTTTGATCATTATCCATATGTGAACCATTAACACAACACACACACAATTCAAAGTACATTATTACTATTCTAACATAGGTGTACTTTAGCAAATAAATTCATAAAAATTCCTTCGCTATTTATTCGATACTAATTTTATTTTATACAATCAATGTCAACTTTAGCAATCCCAACATGACACCTCAAGCCCTTTATTATTCATATTCATCAATACTTCATATGACATTTTTGAAATTCTCAAATTTCAATCATAAAAAATAAATTCTTTTAGAATTCATCTCAACTTCTCCAAAATATTCAAAAATGTCCCTTTCCATTTAACTTTAAGTCAAACTTCTAATAGAAAAATTAAGCATTCCAACATTTAATTCAAACATAATACATTAACTTTTGCATAATTCCCATTTAAATATAATTTTCCCAACATTTATGATTTGGTCCCTATAACTTTATAAACTTCCAAATTGGTCCAAACAACATTCTAAGGCATGCAGAATCATTCATACATCAATTTTCAGTGTTATGGAAAATTTTCCATATTTCCCTCAATTTCTTCACCATGGTCGAATATAATAAAGTACTTTAGGCTAGATTTCCAACTTGATTCTAGAAAAAATTCAAGCATCATTTCCATGAAATATCAATCAAATCCAATTTAATTTCAGTTTATCCTCAGCTTTCTATAAAAACCCTAATTAACCAAACTTTGATTCAATCATTTGTAATTGTTTTCAATCATCAAATAAGCATGGAAATGGTTCCATAACATCAACTACATCAAAATCAAACGTTAAATCATAAAAACATAGCATCCTCTTCATCCATCAATTTCAAGAAATTGTGATTTAAACATGGAAAACATGAACAAATTACACCAAATGATAGAGAATTTCATGTAGGTTAATTTCCTATTTTATGCTTTCATCCAAAAACCTTAAGAGTTTTCTTGAAAAATGAAAATATTTTTTTTTCTTTCTTATAATGGTGTTCACGGCGAGTGAGGAAGATGAAGGGAGAGTTTTCTTGATTTTTCTTCATGAAATATCATGATACACTTTTTGTAATTCTAATTAACTGAATTAAAAATTCATATAATATGAAATTACAATTATGCCCTTTAAAAATCATGGTAATACCACACCACATCATGATTCCATCATCTTTACATCGTCAAAGTTAGACATGAACCAATATTTTTATGTTTCACAACTTTTCCCTTAAACTTTTCCAAAATTTACAATCTTACCATTATAATCCAATGATCCCGATTTAACATGCAAAATCAACTTAAATCCATTGATTCATGTTAAATTTTACTAATTTAAAATATAGAAATGATATTATTAACCTTTTTCTATCTTAAATTTTCAATTCGATCCGATTATCTAAATATTTTTCTGAAGTTTATCGCTTTATAGCCTTTAAAACAAATTCCAGATCAAAAATTTGAATCCCAAGAATATATAATTCTTTAGGGTGAACATCTCAAGCCCCTAAAGTGGTAACGTTTGCAATGTTAGGCATCGAGATTATTAAAAAATTAGTTTAGGCACCTATTCGTGAAAAAGCGTTATAGTTTGGGAATTTATTTTATAATTAAGCCAAAATTTTATAAGTACAACCTAAGCTAAAATATTTTATTTATCTCTAATTATATTCTCTTAAAATACGAATTTAGTTAATCTTCTTTTTCCTACCAACTATGTTCTTTTGTTTTCTATTTTCTTAAAGAAAACATTACATTTCTCATATCTTTTTTATCACAAGTCTCTTCCTTTGTACGAGAACAAGGAGAGTAATACTATCATTGCCCACTTCAATCTTCGGGTGTACAAATTTTTCAAATATATCATGTTAACATCAGGGGATGATCCTCAATTGCTGGGATTACATACATCGAAGTGAGATTGTTTCTAAAGTAGTGGTTCATCACGATTATTCATATGCCTTTTATTTATTTTTTATCATATAATTAGTGCTAATGATTTGATTTTGTAGTTTATTTACCAACAATTTAAAAACAATTTTGTAATACTGTAAAATGTCAAATCTTATGTCAAAGCTAGTTCATGATTTTTCAAAGTTCAATGCACTTGATGGGACCAATTATCAGAGGTGGTTCCAACACATAATCATTTTCTTCGAGCAACATGATCTTGACTATGTGTTGCTCGACCTGCTCTCTCAACAATAACATACTCCATCTTTGTTACACATTTCCTTTAATGTTATTGGTGGTGAAGCTACTCATACTCCTACCAGTGAAGTCTTTTAGCCCACAGTCGTCGATGCTCCTGCCCAGACATCATTCGAGAAGTATGAGAATGATAGCAAGACACTTTGTGACTTTCTCCTAAATAACATGTTGAACAAACTATTTGACATATTTCTAAAGCAGAGAAGCGTAAAAGTTATACAAGACACGCTGGAGAAAAAGTATGGTGATGGTGATTCCAGTATAAAGAAGTATGTTGTCGGTGAGTGGTTGAAATTTTAGATACGATAATAGGTCGATCATAGACCAAGTCCATGACTACGAGAAACTGGTCTCTAACATCCTAGCTGAGGGCATGAAGATAGAGGAAGCTGCTAAATTCCTCATTGAGAAGCTTCCAAATTCCTAGTTCGACTATCGTAACTCCCTGAAGCATAAGGTAAGGGTTTTCAAAATTGATGAGTTGGCGGGCCATATGAAGATAGAGGAAGCCAACTTACTTAATGATAAGTTGAA